AATTAATTAGGGTAAGTGCAGGTATAGTCGGACAGTACCAGTACTTTCTTTACATTAACATTACTAGTAGTCGGACACTTGACTGTTTATTGTCAAATAAATAATAATGCATTGTGATAAATATTTTAAATATTATACTGGACGAATGTGTAAAGTTAATATTTTATGAAAATTGTGTTATTTTATAACATAATGTAATAATAAACATTTTATTCTTCATTTTTAAAATCATAGTGTCCGAGTACTGATGCAACGCACTTTCGTTTAGCACCATAAGTAGAACAAAGTTTTGTTGATGATTAATCATAAATGATAAAACTTATAAAATTTAAATATTATGCCATTTGACTTTTAATAATCTCTTATTTAATTTTTCAGTCTGAAACAAATAAAATATTTTCTTTTTTACTTTATAAATTCATATTTAGTCTTATTAATGTCCGACATTAGAAACAGTGTCCGACTACTGAAACATTCTTGATTTTTCACTAAAATGCTTATATTTTATTAAATATTGAAGCATTTTTAACAAATTTATACGATTTTTCATCGTGAACATGTCCTTTAATATATTATGTGCTCGAGAACACTATAGCTATTTGTTATTTCGAGAAAAATTGCATAATATAAGATAGAATCTTTAAGTGTCCGACTACTAGTGCATTTACCCTATAATGAATTTATTGTCATATATAAGTATAAAGAAATCTACTTCGTTACGTGCAATGATTGATGTTTCTTTTGTAGTATATACAAAAATGTCTCCTAAAATATAAATTTTTCTTGAAAATGCACATTTTTCTTCTTTTTTTTAAAAAAATAAAAATATTATGTTTTGTAAAATATGAAATTAATAAAAAATTGTTTTCATTTTAAAGAAGTACGGAAAGGAAGTAGGGCGAGAAAGCCTAAAACTGTGTTTTCTCCGGACAATTATTTTACGGCAAAGGAAATAAAAAAGTTAAATGTCGCGGAACAAAAAAAAAGAGCTAAATCAGACCAAGTAAGTTTTACTAATGGGAAATAAAGTCATATTATAGTGTCTCTAATTTAATATTTTACGTGTTTTTATGCGGAACTTCATTTTTCATAGAAACTGTTGGACAAATCTTTACGAACTCTTAACAATACCCTACTGAAAATACCTTTGAGGTATTACCTTAAAGATCAACCTTAAAGAATCCTTAAGAATCCAGTAATTTTCCTTAACTCCTAGGTCTGCGTAGTAAATTTTTATGCCTGAACCTGAAGGTGTAATAATAAAGGATCCTTTAAGGATGACTCTTAAGGTAATCTTTAAGGTATTTTCAGTAGGGTACATTATTTAATTGTACGAAAAGTTTATTTTAAGAATGCCCCATGTATTTTGGGCATAATAGGCGCAATGTACCAGCTTAAATTTTTAGTAAATAGTATATATTTTAATAAAATTTTGCCTTTTTTTAGAAATTAATTAAAAAGAGTAAATTGGATGTGGAATATCAGTACGATGATCAAAATGCAAAATTAATGGTAGCAAATGTAAGTTCTTAATATTTATTAGTAACATTATCGACAAAAAATGAGACAATAAATGAGAAATATTTGATGTATTTCAATTTTGAATGTTTTTTTTAAACTCTTAGTTATAAATTTAAAAGCTACTTAGTTTATTGCAGACAAATTATTTCAAAAGCGTTCTGACTTATTGTTTTTGAATTTTGTAAACTTATTGCACTCAACAACATAAAAAAATTATATACAATTAATTATATAAAAACCCTTTGAAAATCTTTTAATATATGTATTAATTATTGTAAATTTATTTATATTTACATCATATTTACTCTTTCAAAAACATAATTATCAGAAAGGAATAATAACATGACCTAATCTTTCTAACAATAAAAACTTGGTAAAATTTCTAATTTACACAATTTCTTATTTACGATAAAAAATCTTAAATTTTTTTATTAATTAAAATAATGTACAACTTACAGATTGTTGTTTAATCAATTTTTTACATGTATTGACAAACTTACATTAATTACTTACATAAAACAGTACCGGTTCACACAAATTATTTTTTATTGTAATTAATCTGCAGTGAACACATTTTCAATAATTATAAATGAGAAAATAAAAAAAATTCAAAAAAAAGACAAAGTGATAATATAAGTACTGAATGAAAATAAAAACTCGAAGGTGGTCTCTTGATTTTGTCCGATAAGTTGTTAATTACATATTAATTTGTTTAACGTAAATAGTTATTAATATTATTTTGTGATATTTAGAATTTCAAGCCTCAGAATGACCCAACTAACGAAACAGTTAGAGATGAGGTGATAATAAGTGAGGTGATGATAAGTGAACCGCAAGACGTAATTATAAATAATAATAATAATTTTGCATTTTATTATCAATGGTGAAATGTAGGTATTATCGCGCAATTTGGCTAAGATCTTTATCTAAAAAAGTATTTCAAAACGTTCGTTTGTGGAAGTATTGGTCTTTTGATTGTTAAAATAGTTTTCAGTACCGAGAAACGAAAAAAGTTCGTGAAAGTGTCGCAAACTGGTACTTTGCTATTTGATAGGTCACAAATTCTTAAAAGTTTTATAAAATTTTGAATAATAAAACTCAAACTTTACAGAAAAATGGAATAAAAGTTAAAAATTACTTTTATATTGTAAAAGATTTTTTTATTTAATTTTTTATTTTATTGTGCATTTGTAAGTTCAGATTGAGGTGATTTTTGAAGTGAAAAATCCCTCGGTTCAGATAGCCACGGCGGTTAGTTCTTACAATAAATTTGTTGTATCTAAGTTGTTGTAGGTTCGAATTCGCCAGTGTTTTCACAGAAAATTAAATGGCATTAAAATAAGCTGCAACGCTTCTTATTTTAATCCAATTTTGCCTATTTTAATCCATTTTGGTATTAAAATAAGCAAAATTGGATTAAAATAATAAGCGTTGCAGCCTATTTTAATGCCTTTTAATTTTCTGTGTTCAGAATTTTAAGATCGACAAAATGTATGCGTTTAAAGTGCTGTGTAAAAATTATCAAATGAAAGATGTATGTACCAAAAGAATACTGGTTAATTGTTATTGAATCTTTGGTGCTTGATCTTCATATTCTAGTTGTGCATGGAATTTGGATGGACTGTGTTTGTGTATTTTAAAAAAATTTACCATCTATCCGAAATAGAATTTACCAATTCACGATTCTTTAACGAACAATTTTTCGTGTTTTGATGGTATTTATTTAAAACAAAAAAATGTGTGATATCTATTCATTGGCTCTTCCAGCATTATCTATAGTACATACAATATGGGTTTTCTGCGTCCTGATGGATTATAATCCAGATCACTAGAAAGTTCTCAATTTTTACTTTTGATAGACAAAAAAATGTTAAAAAATTAATTTTAACATTAATTAAGAACCTTTTGGTAATTCGGATCGAGCACGCACGCAGAAAAATTCCAGTAACGCTCTGTATGATTTGTCCATCTTTCACCAATTGAGTGTTAAAAAATATTTCAAGTTCTATAAAACAGATAAAAAACAAAGAAGGTTTTTTTACATCCTCTACTTTTACATAATCTAAAAATTGAGTTAAGAAACAATTTTCGTTTTTACATAATTGTTATTATTAATGAACAAAATTTTCAATTTTTTTTTTATTAATTTCTAACTAATGTTACTTTCAGTTAAATCATCATTGTATTAATTTAAAACAATGTAGTAATAATAATTTTCAACGATCGTTAGAAGGATAAAAAATAATAAAATATATAATATAATATATATTATATTACAATATTTATATAAATATAAAATGTAAAATTATAATAAGATAATGCGAATAATTCAAATAGTAAATTTCATTTATAAAATTAAGGACAATCATTTATACATATTTAGAACATGTAACCAAAATATAATAACTAACATGCAACCAACGAAATATAGTAAATTTTATATTATATAGGGAATAAGCTTTAAGAAAAGTCCAATTTTATCTGTATCTGTATTATAGACACGGAAATATTAATTTTTTTATAAGGCCTTCATTTGTAAGGTGAGCAAATCATAATGAACGGCAGTATATATACTTTGGAACATAAATCAAATTTTATAAAAATTTCGTGATAATATTTACATTTACCCTATTGCACAGAATTAAGTTTGTAAAATCTTAATCACTATAATTTATTTTTAAAGAACGAATTCTTTCAAATTTGCAATAAGGGGTGCCATATTAAAATAACGGAATTAGAGGCAGAACTAGTCCGAGAAAGAGAAGAAAATGTTACATTAATTAATAGAAATCGTGTTCTCGAAGAGGATAATATTAGATTAAATTCTGAAGTTGGAATTTTAAGAACGACTCAAGTTGAGATAAATGATAAGTTGGATGCGATTAAAGATGGTGTCTCAATTCTTACTGAAAGAAATAGAGAAGAAGTAGAAGCAACTTCTGCAAGATCTTCTATTTCAACAGAACCTGAGATGGTATTTTTCTTTATTTTGTTCTTTTGCAAAATTTAATAACCATCTTAACTTAAATCAGTAATCTATTTCCGTAATTTTACTTGTGAAGCCTGGGGTTATATTGAGTTTTTAAATTTATTTCTATTAAATGTTATTTAAAAAATTTTTAGTCTGTTTTTTTAAATGAAAATATTTATGTATATTTTACTGGAGTATAAAAAAATTCAATAATAAATAAACTTTAAAACTTTCATAAATAAAAGTAATTTTTTGTTGAGATGTAACATGGGGAGAGTTAAAGCAATATTAACCATTTTATTTGTTGTTATTTACGAAAATAAAGATGAAAATTAAAGTTTTTCAGTTCAAATTATGCATATGTGTAATTTATTTAATTTGCAAAATCAAAATCTTACGTGAACGTTGTAAACAAAAAAAAGTACAAAATTACAGATTTGTAACTGTTTTCTAATAAAATGAAAGCTTTCTTCTCACTTTAAAGCTTTTAAAATTTTCCAATTTGCAGAGAGTCGTTGCAGGTATTGCAATTGAAAAATTCGCTCTCGAAAGAGCTGAAAATGCGACTGAATTAGGCGCACGGTTGAGGCATATCATTAAAGGTTATTGGAAACCATCTGAATATAAATCCGTGGCTTCAACAAGACCACCTGATGAAGTTACGAAGGAGAAGATGATTGTATTAAAAGACAAACATGCCGATGAAATACTTAGTACGTATTTCTAAATTGCATATCGAGGAAAGTCGGATAATTACAATAATCATATAAATTTTAATCCGTAAAAACATTTTACATCAAATGTAAATATTTTATTTTCCCGAACTTGCACCGGTTTGGGCTATGACAATTTGAAAATTGTTAAAAACTTGATTTTTTAATTGTACGATTGATTTTATTTAAATATTTTTATGTCATTTGAATTTAAAAATGTTTTGTAACTATAATTTGCTTTCTCATGGAAGCATTGTAATATCAACATTTTAAGATCAATTTCTTTATTTATATTTATGTTTTTCGATCTTAGGAATACAAAAATAATATTTTAAAAAGTGTTGATTGGTGTGTAAATGTGCAAAAATTATATTTTCATATAAATATCTCTAATACTGTAAGAGTTAAAAAAATGAATTTTTTTTATAAGTTGCATATTTCATTGGCGGACAAATAATGAAAATGCAATGATCAAATTTAATTAAAATTAATTAATTTTTTTAGCATTTAAAAAGTTTTGAAAAATCGGTTTTTGCCTACAACTTTAAAAAAATCCATTGTCACGTACAGATATTTCTTTTTGATTTTGTAGTTTTGAGTAATTAGCGAACATTATGTTGTTCTATTTAAAGTTATATTGACATTTAAAAAATTTAAAAAAAAGTTTTTTGTCGACAACTTATAATAATTTCCAGATGCCTAGAAATATTTTTATTTTTTTTTGTATAGTTTCCAAAACGAATTTTTTTAACTTATTGGCAAACATTCTATTGTTATTCTATTCATAGCTGTATAGCAGACCTTGAACTAAAGTATAATATAAAATTAATAACCTCATTTTTATCATTTGAAAACTATGAATGTCACATGTATTTTTCTAACAGTTTTTTTTTTTCACTCATGAGAAGCGTTTTCTGCTTTCGGTTTTCTGCTCACATGGGATTGCACCCTCAGTGGAGAAAGATACCGTTTCGACTAAGCTCTAAAAACCATACTATTCTAATTGACGTTTGAAGAACACGCCATAAAAAAAATTCTTAATCTTATAAACTTTTTCTGAATGCTGCCAACCTAAATTAAAACAAACGATTAGTGAATTTTGAAATGGTATGATCTTCAAACGTCAATTGGCATGATACGATTTTCAGAGCTTAGTCGAAATGGTAACTTTCTCCACTCTGCGACCAATTTAATATTTCAAATTGGGGCACAATCTCAGTTTAGACTGTTTTGAATAAAAAATATAAAATTCCATATGCAATAAAATTATAAGTTTCATGTCCGCAGTTTACCTTCGAATATATCGAAATGTGAAATATTGCCGTTGATACTGTAATAGTACATTTTTTTTCTATATTATATAAAATAAATGCTTAAAATATCTAATTAATTTTATTTTTATAAATTTCCGTATCTCGGTTTTATTTTTCATATTATTCAAAGCAACGTTATGGTTAATATTACTTAAATATTTCATCTTAGCAATTTATCCGACTTTCCATAAACTTAAGTTTCAGCATATGAATTGATTTCTTTCATTTAAAAAACGTTTTTCATATACCATATCATTATCATATACCTAATATTATCTTTATTTCTTATCATTATCATCTTCATTTCATTATAGATGTCGCTATTGCATTACAACAGACTGACGAACCACCGCTCCAAAAACTTGCATCTTCTTTGACTATCAATGATGTAAAAACTAAAATACAGAATGTACTGAAAGCCGAAAGGCAAAAATTAAAACCGAAATGTAATAACAAGAAGTACGTAAAAATGATTAATCGTAAAGCTGAAATCCGCTTAAAACGAATTGTCGTCATCTTTTTAAAAATTGTCTAATTCTTATATAAAATTAAAACTTTCATTACAAACAAGAATGGAAGTAAATATCTTGACTTTTTTATTGGACAAAGAAAAGTACAAGAATATAAGAGTACTTTATTTGTGAAATTATCAGTAAGGAAAAATGGTTTAATCCTCAGGGTGCTGACTGGGTTAGTGGCCGTTTTCGACATGCCCACACTCTCAATTTGAATCAGTGAGATCTCACTGATGAAATAGCCAGAAGTCGGTTACTGAATCATTTAGTGAGGATTTTAACTGCAAATCAGTGAAATATGACTGCTTTTCAGTAAAAATCCTCACAAAATGATTCAGTAACCGACTTCTGGCTATTTCATCAGTGAGATCTCACTGATTCAAATTGAGAGTGCACAGATCATATTCTGGATTACTGAGAGCATTCTGTGAGCACGTCGAAAAACCCCAGTGTAACCTAAATGAAATTTGAAAGATGCGCCATTTTTAAATAAATCGATTGTGGTAGCCTCGACCCAATGCTAAAAACACTTGAAGGTGCGTAGGTAGCTCTTTCGGCAGAGATGAAGCGTCAATTGACACTTTATCTTCCAGTTGTGCTTTTTTCAAATATTCTATTTCAAGTGAATTTTACCCCAAAAATTTTTTTTTTGAATGAATTAGAAAACAATTAACGTTATCTTTAAAATAAACTTTTTAAATTTCCAAGAACCTCCTATAAAATGTTTATATCTTTTTTTACAAAAATGAAATCTTTTGTAAGATAGTTTATTAAACAACAAGGGAATAATTATTTTATTTTGATTTTCGTGACATGAATGAACGTTGGAAGCGAGTTTTAATTTATTAATATTAGTAAAAAAATACAGTCAATCACAGTTGCTGGGTTAGGATAACCCAGTCCGTAGCGTCTGTAACTTTCTTATAGTTTGTATCCTGAGAGTTGAAAATGATTTGTTGTATTTGAATTAAACGAAAGTATTCTGAATATTTTTAAATTTCCTTTCCATAAAGATTGTTCGTCGCTTTTTGTTGTTTCTTATTAATTTTTTTATTTTTATTACTTTTTTTAATTAATTTTTTATTAATTTTTTTATTAATCGTATAATTTGCCCAATATGTTACGTACTGGTGTTTAATGAAACGTCGGTTAAGGTAAACTTTTTATTTTACAGGTGCTACCGATTATCGCAAAGTTTTTTTTATCAATTTTTATTTAATACTGTCGAAAACTATATGTTTAATATTATTTTATTAATAATTTATATTATGATTTAAAAAATTGTTTTACAAGTTTAGTTTCGAATTCTTCCACTTTTTTGTAATAAATTAAAATAAATTTTTGTCCTAAAATTCAAAGACAACCACTTGTAAACGTTATAAGCGGATTTCATCTACATATATGGAATGGAACAATAAAGTAAAATATTTAAATTACACAACCTCACAATAAAATTTTGTTCTACAATATAGAATTAGTCAATTACCAATTATTTTGTTTCTCCAAATCGAAATTTAAAAGCATAATTGGAAATTTTATTTGCATTCATTTGCTCTATAAAACTGAATCAGCGAAATTTCATTGGAAATCTGTAAAAATCCATTGATTTTCAGTGTCTCTCTTCTCACGATTTCAATCAGTGAAATTTCAATGAAAATCAGTGAAAAATTATAAAAGTTTCAGTCATTTTCCACTGATTGGCCAGTTAAAAATACACTTGAAACTTCAGTCGTTTTTCACTGATTTTCAATTGAATTTTACTGATTGAAATCGTCAGAATCGTAAAAATAAGTAATTGATTATGTTTTAGAAAGGGTAAATTTGAAAAATAAAATTTTAATGACTGTAACGTATTTTGTTGTAATTTTTTAAAATTCGAAACATAATTTTTTTCATCTAATTATTTAACATTATGAGTGTCAAGTAGTTTAATTAGAAGTTTTAAACAGTAATAATTTTAATAATTTTTTAAGTTATATTTTTTCTAATATTTTTCGATTTCTATTATTCCTTGTTCATTTTTGACAAAATATTTAGCCGTCATGGTAAAAAATTAATCAGTTACTGCTATAATTTTTTTCGTGTAATTTGATGGACAACATTTTTTGTGGGGTTTTACTATTTGTTAAGGACATGTGACCCTTAAAATTGTTATGTTAATTTATCCCCAATTTTTCTCGTAAATTACTGAATGAATTGAGTTGAGATTTTGTGGAAAAGTAAAGAATACGACAAGGAAGGGTTGTGAAATGTGAAAATGTTGTAATTTGTTATAAATAAAGATTATAAATCACTTGAAAATTGTTAGAAAAAGTGAGGTTTTAATTGTCGAATTTTATAACATTTTTAAAGTGTTTTATAATTATTATTCTACAAGATATAAATATTTTTGTACTTCACAACACTATTCCTTATCATATTTTAGACTTCACAAAATTTCAGCTTATTCCATTTAGTATTTTAGGAGAAACGTTACAAACAAATGAACCTTACAACTCTAAGGGTCACATGTCCTTAACAGATATGTAATGAAGTTATTTTTTCACTTTCAGAAGGCTATCAGACAGTAATAATAATACAGAGAACGCTGCCTAAATGCTATTGCTAACAATGTTATAATATTTGTCAAAACTCTAAAAAGTATTTTAAATTATCGTTTTAAAAACATTTTATATTATGCATAGCAATGTTGACTCAATGTGATTCGAAGTTTTACAAAACGTAGCTTCAATTTTCGTTTATAATGTATAGCAATGTTAGCTCAACGTGATTCTAAGTCTTACAAAATGTAGTTTAAAGTTTCGTTTATAATGCATGTTCAGCAATGTTAACTTAATGTGATTTGAAGCTTTACAAAATGTAGCTTCAATTTTCGTTTCAATGCATGGCAATGTTAACTCAATGTGATTCGAAGTTTTACAAACTGTAACTTCAATTTTTGTTTATAATTAATAACTTTGATAAATAAATGGAAAATATTTAACAAGAAATTTTATAAAGAATGTCTCAAAGTTATGGAATCAGACGAATATTATTCAACATATGGAATGTTGTTCCTGAACTGACCCAAAAAAATGAGAAATTCTTGGATTGGCTTGCTAATTATGTAACTTATTATATATTGCAGCTTAATTAACAGATTTAAAATTAAGTTCGACCCCAATATTTTAACCACAGGTCACCTGCAAGAGGTTCTGAGTATTGCTAATTTTTTATTTCAACAATTGACAAAGCCATACTCCAATTTGTCGCTTAATGCATAAAAAATTAAAAATCAAAGTTTACTCTTTCAGTATTTTCTCTCGCATTTCGATTAAAATAAACTAAAAATTCAAACTAAAATTTATAATTATTCCTTATTAATGGTATAACAAAAATTGACTTTAATTTTTGACCTTTGTCAATTCAGTTAATAAGAATTAACTGTTTACATTTACTCCGAGAATTTGAAAACTTGGGGTAAATGTAAACAGCAGTTTCAGACCATGTATTTTATAATATATCAAGGCAAAAGTTGTTTCTTTTTCATCTAGGACACTTTTTTAAAATTTTCCTTGTCAGACCAAATAAATAAAATGACGTATCATATGAATTTTCATGAAAGTTGTTTTAAAATTTTTTTAAATAAAAAACTTATGTTATTGTCGAAACTAAGCAAATCCGTTTACATTTACCCCAATTGACCCTACACGGAGAGAAGAGTTACTGTTGTGGCTACAAAACTTGTTTAGTAGCCTAAAATATTGTCATGCCAACTTAATAGCAGTTGTTGTAACTAAACAGCGTTGAGTTCCGTTTAGTTCACGATACTCAACAGTGTTTTTGGCCTCGCTCTCATTTGAGTGAATGCTACGCTACTGCACGGAAAAAAAGAAAAAGTAACTTTTACTACTTTAAAAGTAAAATTGGACCTGTCCGAAGTTTCTGCGCATCTCTGGCAACTTTTACTCCAAAAATAGTAAAATTTACTTCAGAAATAGTAAAAATTACTACGGAAACAGTAAAATTTACTACAGAAATAGTCAATTTTACTATTTTTCGAGTAAAAGTTGCCAGAGATGCGCAGAAACTTCGGACAGGTCCAATTTTACTTTTAAAGTAGTAAAAGTTACTTTATTCGTTTTTCCATTTTTCTCCGTGTGCTTATGTTCCCCCACTTTTTATTGAGATATCAAAATGTCGGACGCTTCTTTCTCCAAACAATACACTTTGTTTATGTTTTTATTTAATTTTTTGTTGATCTTATTTGAATAAATTTATATTGAAATTATTAAGAATTTATTAACTGTATATACTTTATTATTTATTTTTGAATAAAACACGAAATATAATCCACACATTATAGGTTATGTTTGCTATGTGCAAAACAAAAGTAGCCATTTTAGATTTTTAACTGATTTAAAGGTTGGCACTACTGTACACTGAACATGTTACTGCTACTAGACGGCTGTTTAGTAAAGCGTACTCTTATATGGGTCTGTCGAAAATTAACAACACTGTTTAGTTACCACAAACGAACCGAGAGTCTTACTCACTAGTCAGTTCTCTCCGTGTATTTTCAATTTTTATTGATTTTGTCTTAAAAAACTATTTATAACAGAAAGTCATATTATATATCGTTAAACCGTTAGTTGCCTCAACTATTTGGTCCAAAAATAAGGGTATCACTGAAATTTATATAGAAAAATACGGATACATATTTTTAGTTGATTTTCAAAGGTCACTCTGACAAGTATTCCATGAAAATAAAAATCAAGCGATAAAATTATTAAGTTGAATATTTACAATAATAATAGTTGGTGTCAAAATGAACCAGTTTGGCAGCTAACGGTTAAAAACAATTTTTGGCATTGAGAAATACATAAAAATTGTTTTAAAAGTTACTATATGCAAGTTAATTCATTATAACAATTTAATAACTAATGGTATTTTTGAAAATGACAGTATATAACACTTTAACCCTCACTACCTTTCATTTTTTTCTTGAATTTAATTAATACTTCGAAAATTTATTACTCTAATGTAGAGCAATTAGTTACTACAATTGGAAGCCAATAAAAGAAGTTGTCCTTTTTTTGGACAGTTCAGGAATAATACCCTATTAAACTGTTTTCAAACTGATAGGTCATTGCGTGTAATTCATTTCTACTTTCAAATTCTTTCTCCTGTAAATGTGAAATTGAATAATGCTTTTTTCCTTTTTATCCTTTCTGTCCTTTATATTCACAGCAAGTACATATTCACTAAACTTGTTAACATTCTACAGTTATTAAATTTAGTTTAAACTTTTTTTAAGAATCTAAAATCAAAATTATTAACTGTTTCAAAAAGTTGTGTAACATTAATTTAATACACAAAAGGGTTTTAATAAGAGATGACAAAAACAGTTAGACATTTAGAGGGAAGTAGTCCAATTTTTTGAAACTTGAAAATTATTTGTAAGAAAGTGCAGTTAATGTATAAAACTATTGAAACTAACAATCATGCAAAAAAACATAAAATTTTCATTTTTAATAACTACTACCTTAAAGGAAGTATAAAGCAGGCTATTTTTTCCCTTTCATTCTCTTCTTTTGGTGCATGAATATTTTAGATTTTCATTTCACTCAAACTATTTAATAAATAATCTTTACTAGAAAAATTTTAGTTTCCTTTTAAAAATTAGTCATTTCAAGTTAATTTTTTTTGGGGGTTGTACAGATTATGAGTAAAGCGAGTTCACCCACCCAATTGCTCAATATGACAGTTATCTAAGTTAGAAAAATTATTTTTTAGGTTTAAATTGTGTAAGTTGAATTTTTATATAATTACTGCTTATTTTTACAAATAATTCTCAATAATTGTAGAATAAAATTTTTTTTATTTTTATAGAAATGTAAATACTCTTTTTTATAATTCTAATAATTTTTCTTATGTTTTCTGCTTTGTCAAAAGTGACTTTTTTGCAACTCGTTTACTTGGATTTCCATATTTTAAGAGAAATATTAAAGCTTTCAACATATTTTTTTATACTCCACATAGTTCATAGAATTTTATTTTTTTTTACAAAATTTAGTCAACTATCAATTTCATCAAAATATAATTTAAAAAAAATTTTATATACTTCCAGACATAAAGGACGAAGCACATTCGCAATGTCTGACATTGAAGACCTTATCGAAGATGACAATAGAGGTGGAGAGGAAAGCAGTAGTGAAAATTCTGAGGATGAAGGAGATTTTATCGATGATGATAATAATGAAGATAATGATGACAATCAAGAGGTATTTGGGGATGACGAGAATTTGTCTGAAGAAGATGACTTCGAAGAAGAAGAACAAGATGCAATTGAAGTAGAAATAAATGATATCAATGCACAACATGCAATTCCGATTGATGTCGATGATAATGAAGAAGAAAATGTACAAGATACGCTATTTACCGGAATTAATGCTTTAGGCATGCGGGTACCGTTACGAGGTAATGCAAATTTACGTGCAATTGATCATCTCTTAGTAACATTAGCCCGAGCAATACGACACAACTCAACATACGAACATTTGCTTGATGACCTGAAGTGGATAAAAAAATCTTATAGGTATATTAACATGCCAACCACAAAGAAAGCCTTGTGGAGAGTACTAGGCCGAAACAAAAATAATCTTATTTATCGGTTTTTCTGTGAAGAGTGCAAACAACTATTAGGTGTGGGGCAAATAGGACGGAGATGTCGATGCGGTAGATGTGGTCCAGGACAAGATAAAACATTTGTTGCGACTTACATACAGATACTATTGCGACCTCAGCTTAGTGATCTATTTAAAATCCCAAATATGTCTGAATCGTTACGGTACAAGCACAATAGGATCAAAATAAATCCCGATGCCATAGAGGACATTTACGATGGTGAAATGTACAAGCAATTAAGCGAGCCTGGCAATTTTTTAAGTAATCCCCACAACTGTTCTCTGACTTTATGGACCGATGGCCTAAAGTTAACTGAATCATCTCGTGCCACAACATACCCTGTTGTTCTTCAAGTAAACGAATTATCACCTCATGCTCGTAAGAAACATTTGCTTTTAGCAGGTATTTGGGTTGCAAATGAACACCCTGTCATGAATGCAATTATCGGACCAGTAAGAGATGAATTAATTGATTTGTACAGAAATGGCATCCGTTGGAGTCCTAATGGTGGAGATGAAGTAATCAGTAGATTCATAGTTACTACCTTCACAGCGGATTCGTTAGCAAGGCCGGAAGTGTTGCGGATGAAAAGGTTCAATGGAACATATGGATGTGTAATGTGTCTTCTTCTTGGTGAAAGAGTGATCAATACATGGATTTATCCAGCTTTACCATTTGTGGAACGTACAGATGCTTCCATAAGAGCTGATGGGTTGACTGCTAATGAAGCAAGACCAAGACGATATGTTAATGGAGTGAAAGGCGTGTCGGCATTAGCTACGCTTCCTGAATTCAACATGAGAGATGGTGTCGTTGTTGATGGTGCCCACAATGTTTATCTTGGTGTAGCCAAAAGATTGGTTCAGAGATACTTAAATGATGCAGGTCAACCTTGGTACATAGGAGCTCCAAACCAACTAACTTCTATAGATGAAAGATTACTGACGATTAAACCACCTACAAGGATTTCTCGACAGCCGCGAAGTATAGTTGTCTACAAAACGTGGAAGGCATCAGAATGGAGAAATTGGCTCCTATATTATGCACTACCATGTCTGGATGGGCTTTTAGAGCAGCCGTATTACAATCACTTGGCAATGTTGTGTCAAGCTGCATACATTCTTAATTCTGCTTCCATCACTGAAGCCAATCTCAACACTGCGGATAATTTGATTGAAAGATTCGTGCACGATTACCAGAGGCACTATGGCTTAGTGAATATGGTATACAACGTGCATCTTTTGCGGCATCTTGTACGCTCAGTACGAAAGTGGGGTCCTATATGGGTCTATTCGGCTTTACCATTTGAGTCGTTGAACAAAAAAATTACAGATTATGTAACAAGTCCGTATGGTAGAGCAGATCAAATAGTTACACGATTTTTCATGAAGAAATTTGTAAATGTTGCGACAAGACTGGTACAAGTTTCTGAAGATGCAAGAGAAGAAATGCGTCGCTTACTCAAAATAAAAAATGAACATGTTCAAGGAATGCCAGAAGGGCACTATTTTCTTGGAGAAGGGCGGCAAGTTATTCTACATCCTCTAGAAGATGAAATTAATCTTCTCAGGCTAGCTGGACACGCAATTGATCGTGAAACGGATATCACACTGTTTAGAAGAGCTGTCATCCATGGAGCAGAATATCGAGTTCGGGATAATATTAGAAGAAAGTTTTGCAATTACATTGCTTTTACTGAAGAATCAAACTTTTATGAAATCCAATCAATTTTGACGTATACGCATCAAGGTGTAACAGTGTCAGGAATTATTGGTCAACGTTTCCAAAACAACGGCATTGCATACAGGACTCCTCACATGCAACGAGTTGTGCGCCTAGAAGAGAGAGAGTTTGTCATGTTCGAGAGAATAATAAGCCCAGGGTTTTTTATTCCACACACAAATGAGCTGGTAGCTGTTTCTCTATCTAACGTTTGGGAGACAGATTAAAAATGCACACAAATATCCAAAACTCACGCACACACTGCATTATTAAAAACGGTAAGATATTTATAATTTTAGAAGTGTTAAATAGTTTTTTAAAATCTTATTCTACTAAAAAATAATAAAAATGTATTACACATTTTTAATAATAATAATGATAATTAAATAATATCACTTTATATCCTATAGCATTTCAAAAAAAGATTTAAAGAAAATGCATGATCGAGAAATTTGTATGAAAAAAACAATTACTAATCTCTGATGAAGGAAACGTGGCTATTTTAAATTTTCTTTGTACGGTTATAAATAATTAAAACTATACGATTAAAAAAATATTTTTAAAAATTAATATTTATAAAATAGAAAATTAAAAAAATTTTAATGATAATTATAACTTAATTTTATTTTATTTAATTTTTTACTTTATTATAATTCTTGTTTCAATAATTCAAAGTATAATATTTGTAATATTATCAAAGATTTTGTTTAAAAAATTTGTAAAAATTACAGTTTTTTAATTCTAAAAATTATTGTTTAATTTTCTTAGAATTTAACGTTTCATTAATTATTTGTATGATGATCAGGGAAGACGAAATTATGTCTAGGAATTAGGAAAAAACCAGGAAAAACAAAATGCAATTTTTGTAATATAAACTATCATTTTACAAATGGCTTTTACTTGTTTTTTAAAATTCTTTTTAATAGTTACAACTATAAAATATTGTCTTCTAAAATATAATTGATGTTATTCTAATTATCATTATTTGAAAGCACCTAAACTTACTCAAAAGTCCTCAGTAAAATCTTTAAAAATAAGTTGAATTTAATATTGCATTAAAAATATTATAGAAATTCTGAAATTTCCGAAGATATAATCTGTGGCAACCCTGCCTGCGATAAATAAATAATTATTGTAAAATTTGAAACAATTTAACATTTTCAATCGTAATGCATTTTCTCTTTAATTACAGATCCAAAACTAATACAACGATCTTGTGAGTTAATAATAAATTTATTTCAACCAAATACAACGACAACATTTACCATCGAGAATAACCTAAGATGATTTACTACTGGACGTTAACTTTAATTGGAATACGATATCGCCAGAAATTTCTAAGGAATTACAGCAAATTATTTAAACCGAATTGAAAGGAGGCTAAAAATTTAAAAAAATTCCCCTTTTTTACGAATATTTCCCCTTTTTCCCCTTTTATTCACTCATTTCCCCTATTTTATGTTGAAACTCTAATATTATTTAATAAAAGTCCAAATTTGAACCAAAATATTACAAGCCTCGGATTGGAAATTTTTTTTCATCAGAAAAATTATTAAAATTTTTTTTTTAAATTTAATTTAAATAAATTAAAAATTTCAATTTCTTTGAAAAATACGAATAAAATTAAGTATTGTATATTTTACAAGACGGTTTTCGGTTTGATAAAATAAAAAATTTCTTTGTATTTTTCAAGACAAAAATTAGTGTAGAAGTAATTTTCATTCTATGAAAAATTAATTTTAAAATGAGTTTAAAAAATAAAAAGCGTTTATTTATTAGATGTATGTAATTCAAATTTTTATAAAACATTGAAAATAACATTAAAAAAAATTAATTACTATACTGGGAAAATTTCTCCTTTAAATCTCACTTTTCTCTATAAATTTATCATCTTTTTAAAAAAAAATATTGATTTCTATACTTTCTATGTTTTAAGATGTTTTACATTTATCAAGAAAATGGGTGGTTTCAAAATATTCACCGGTAGTGTAATTTAAAACAACCTTAAAGCATTTTGCTTAAAGAAAATATACATTTATATTTTATCCTATTTTTCCCCTTTTTTCAAACGAAATTTCCCCTATTCCCCTTTTTTCAGCAATTTTTATGCTGTGAAGCCTGTGTAAGGTATTATCTTTAAAATGAATATTTGACAAAGATTGTATGTTTACTAGAATTGAAGATATCAAATTTAATTTGGTTGTTACATCACCATCTTTGAACTGGAAAAATCGACTGAAATATTTTCTCGTGCGTGTTTAATAATGACAAATCAAATTATAAATTTTTCAATATGAATAATTTGCAAAGCAAATATAATTATTTTGCGCTTAGGAAAGTATGTCCTCATTATTAAGGTACACATAAGAAAAAAATTTTATGTGATAACAAAAAAAAGTATTTTCATAATAAATTTAAATAAATTAAATAAAAATAATATTTAAAAAACATTAAGTCAGAGGGCAAAAAAATTCCAGTTGATGTTTCCAGGCTGAAAGATGTCGCTAAAATAACTACTTTTGATAATTTTAGAACGAAAAATTTTTCCAACTTTTAAACAAGAAATCCGTTTGCAAAATATAGCTGTTGTTTTCTAAAAATGAAAAGCACTACGAAAATAAAAGAAATTTAAATAATTGATTTTTGAGAAAACAAAAAAAAATTTTAGAAACTTTATAATCTTTTGTTTAAAAACAACTCTTTGTCTTAAATTTTCAAATGATCGTAACACAATCAATATTATTCAGATATTTTTTTAGTACATGAAAAATTACTATTTTAATAACTATTTTATTTTATTAACTATTTTTATTAAAATAAACAATTTTTTTTCAAAAAATTGAAATTTCTTAAAATTTATACGAATGATTGTTCATAATAATGAATATGCCTAATGAAAATCGTAAATTAAAATTAATAAAAATTACGAGATAAGTACAAATTTTCATTTTTCGAAAATTTCGGATTTTATAAAAAAATTATCAATAACTCCAAAACAATATGTAACGATCAATACGTAAATTATTCTTAATAATAATATTTTTAAATTATTATTTTTTTATCAATTAATTTTTTATTAATTTATTTATAATTACTTTTTTTGGAAACTCGGTTAAAATGATTAATTTTGAAAAAAAGTCTAATTAAACGCAACGAAAAATAATAAATGTAAATAAATTTCGCAGTTGCCCCGTGCAAATTGGCTGACTATAAAAGTTGGACGAGTTGGATTTGAAGGGTAACAATTTATCAGGCAAACGCCTGTCAAAATTTATGGATTCGTGTTGCACGAAACAAGTGCTCGACTATTTGAGACAATAAATTTGCAGAAAATCTGCGGTGAAAACTGTACGGAATCATCAAAAACGAAATCAAAGAAGGGGAAATAATTACAAAAATTGTCGGACAACGAGCGAATTTACAGTACCAGAGCATACGTTCTCACATTATTGCGTGCATCGTTCGCAACTTGACTTTTAACGAGAAGAGTTTGACAAAATTCATTCAATTGCAATCGAAACATCAGGAGGGTATTCACGAAAAACGTAACGAAGCGACTTTGGCGACGCACAATTTAAATCTTATTCGACCAGGTATGTTTTCTCTATTGTTTATTAGCAATTTTTCTTTATTATTACTTATTATTACCGAAAAATATTTAATTTATTTTATTAAATATTACTTTTCGAATTCTTTTCCAGAATGTTTTGAAATTAAAATAAATTAAAAATGATATTTATTAATTAATTTTTGTTTTATTTATTTTTTATTTAAATTTATTTTTAATTTATTATTTAAATATAAAATTAAAATTTATCATTTCTGTAGGAAATCTCAAGTACAGTGGAATCAGTTGCAAAGGAAGCCGAAAAATTTGAGAAAGGAGAAGATGCACAGTGTCTGTTTGGGAGTTCACATATTTGTACATCATTGAGAGAAGAAGCAGTAGCAATAAATAGATTTCGTTCCTGTCAAGATAACGAAAAAATTTTTTTATCGAAATACCTGGTGCGACTCTGAAAAAATTTGCAGGTTGTAATTTTTAATTAACTTAATTTTTTAAAAGTTATTTAAATTTCGGTTTTCTTCTACTGATCTATATTTATATGTATGCGACATTCCACGCTAAACCGACATATCATCAAACTTGACATATTTAAATTGGCTCAATTTTTTTTACCTTGTACTTCACAAAGAACAGCTGTATGATTTTTTACAAATTTTTTTATCCAGCTGTTCAGTAGATATAAATTTTTTAAAATTTACAATTTTTAAGAAAAATATTTTTTTGGTTGATCATAACTTCTACAAAAATGGATCAATTTTAATGTTACTTATATAAAAATTACCAGCTCTTTGATAAACTTTTCAATATTTTGATGCAAAAAATTGTCGCAAAATTATTTATGACTTTTTTTGAAATTTATATGTTAAAATCTTATTTTCAAAATTTTTTTTTTAATTTTTTAAAATAATTTTTAAACAAAACTACTTCTTTTAAAGCAAATTTTAAACCTAGTCCCGTCGTGAGTAAATAATTTTTACTATTTTTTCAGGATTTTTTAAAATTATCGAAATTTAGTAATTTCTCATATATATCTCGGATTATTTTGGTGCTACGCATACTTATGTATTTTTATTTTATTTTTTACTTATGTATTTTTAATACGAAAATCATAGTCACAATGACCGAAAGCTTGATTTTTATGGTGACAACCATGAAAAATACCATAAATTCATGGTGTTTTGTATTTATATCATAAAATATGCAAAAATTCTTGAAATGCTGTAGAAAAAAATTATAGATTTCATAACAATAATAATAATATAAAAATTTGTTTTTTTAATGGTGGTTTAATCATTTTGTGAGAAAACTAATAAGTTTAATCAAAATTATCATAATATATAAAAAAATGTATTTTATGTTAAATGTATTAAATGTTTTTACCATAAAAATCAAGTTTTCGGACATTGCAACTATGATTTTCGTAAAAGGCTTACCGAAATACATGAATATTCGTAGTAACAAAAAAATCCGAGGTATGCGTAAAAAAAATAAATTTTCACAATTTTAAAAACCATGAAAAAATAATAAAAATCATTTACCCACGACGTGACAAGGCTTAAAATTTGAGTACAAAGAAGCAGTTAAAAAAAATTATTTAAAAAAAATCGAAGGACATAAACAACTTTAAAAATGAGATTTTAACCTATAGATTACAAAAATAGTGTAAAGAATTTATCGGTAATCTTTGTATTAAATGTTTGAAAAGTTCATCGAAAAACTGAATATTTTCATATAAGTATAACATTAAAATAGATCTATTTTTGTAGAAGTTATGAGCAATAAAAAAATATTTTTCTTAAAAATTGTAAATTTTGAAAAATTCATATCTCTTAAACGGCTCCATAAAAAAATTTGAAAAAAACATCAATCAATCATCCCTTTTTTGTGGAGTACAAAGAGGTAAAAAAATTTGAGCTAATTTAAAAATGTTAACTTTGATCATATATTGGTTTGAAATCAAATGTCTGATATAATTTTTTATTTATACAGCAATTTAAAAAATTTTTAATTACTCTTAAATATTTTTTATTAAATAATTTTGTTTAGTACACTATCTGAATTTTGTTTCAGTGTAAATTTACTGTTTTACTTTAAGTAAATTTAATTTTTTTAATTTTCGCATTTTGAAAAATTACTCGCTAAATTATTGATAATTTTTACGGAAAAATAAATAAACCAATTAAATTTTTCACACTTATTTTTATAATTTATATGTAATAATAATTTTTTTCAAAAATTATTTTTTTGTTTTGTCAAAAAAATAAATAAAGAAAGAAAGAAAGAAAGAAAGATAGCAAATAAAAATTTGTAAAACTTGTTAAAGTGATAAAAGTTGAAAAAATATTTTAGAAGGGATTTTTTCTGTTTTCAGAAAAGTAATGGACCAATTCCTAAAGGAGAATTTTACCCAGAGTTTGAGCTGCACATCAGAACCTAACGATACTGAAGAATTCTACAAATTGATTGTGGAGCAAGTTATAGCCGTTAATTCCGTTGGAAATATAAAATAAATATTCAAATAAAAATGTTCCTTTTTTCACATAGTAACCACAAAAAAAATTTTTTAAATAAAAAATATCTTTAAGAAAATCAAATTTTTGTAATTATTATTATAAATTATTTTAACGCGTCATGAATTTCTTGATGTTTTAAAATAAAATTATCCATTCAGGCCACCAACCAATACCATCTTCTTTCGTTATAAATTATTGTTTCTATTATTACAATTATTATTTTAATTTTTAAGGAAATTTCACTTAAAATTTTTAAACTCCGAATTGTAAAAAATTTTTGCATTACTATTATCTTCCTTAAAAGTTTTCGACTTTTTTTTTATTTATTAAAACCAGAATTTTTTTATTCATTACAAAAATTATTTTATTTCAATAATAATAATAATTAGATATTTTCTTAGACAATAATAAAAAATTTCTTTTTAACAATATATTTTGATTTGCAAACTTTATATTAGATAAATAAATATTATTAATATTTTTATTATTATTAATAAATATTATCGTTTAATATTAATTATTATTATTAATTAATTTCATTGCAAATAGAATTTTGTGTTTAATTAAACAGAAGTAAAGAAAGAATAAAAAATTCAAAAAGAAAAGATCAGTGCTGACATCTGTCGGGCATCTAGTGCGGCAGTCTCAATATCGATAAAGTAGTGTTTTACTTTGAAACTCTGTACATTAAAGTGACAGGTGAACACTTTTCCACTGTCAACATTAATAAATAATTAAATACAACTTAAATTAAATAAACTACTGCATAAATAAAACCTGTGACTTACCCTTTATTCATTCCAATAGTTGTTTTTACCGTTTTTCATGCTTTTCAGGCAATTTTTCACGTCTAACCGAAATCTAACCGAAATCTAACCGAAATCTAACCCAACTCAGTTAGATTTCGGTTTTCGCGATCCGCCAGGGATGTATTAAATTTTATTCTTTTAATTTCAATTTTTTCATTTGCTAATTTTATTATTCACTTAAAAAAAATTCTATTTACTGAAATAGTAAATATTATTCTCAAAGAAAGCAATTTTATTTGAATTCATTCGTAAAATTTTATTTCAATTTATAATATTGAAAATAATCAAATTTCTAGGAAGAATCTTACTAATAATTTTGAAAATAATAAACAATAATTATTAATTATGTACTGAATAATTGAATTTTTTTGAAATTTTCAATCTGGAATTATTCAAAAATTGAATATAATATTTCAAAATGAAAAGTTTTGAAATTGATAAAATCAAACCGAGTTTCGAGCGCTATCGCGTAAAATATGCAAATATGCGAAACAAAATAATTGACTACTTAATTAAATAAATAACTTAAATAACTTAGTAATTTCAAAAAATTGGACATTTGATTAAAGAAAGTATAGAGAGAATTTGCTTTGAAAAATAGTAGAGAAATGGAAAAGGTGATTATATTATAGATACAGCAATATTTACCCAACGATTGTCTCCTATGCAAGGGTGTTTGACCAAGTTGTGCAGGTGTGGGCGCTTGCATAAAAGTTCCTTTATTCGAAGCAACATCATTAGTAGAATCTATTGATTCCTCTTCAGTGTATGATGTATTAGACGAATGGTAACCACTTTCGAAATTGCTGTAAGGTGTATTGGGTGTATGAGGTGTCGACGGGGGTTGTTGTTCGTCGCCAATCATCAAATTATTCACACAATCTTTCCTCTCTTGTCCTTTAATATTATTTACTGAAATATTAAATTGTATTACGTATTAAATTTTATTCTTTTAATTTCAATTTTTTCATTTACTAACATTATTATTCACTAAAACAAACAATTCCATTTACTAAAATAGTAAATATTATTTACTAAGAAAGGAATTTCATTTGAATTCTTTCATGAAATTTTATTTAAATTGTATTTGAAAATAATTGAATTGATAAGAAAAATTTTTTTTTTAATTTTGAATATGATAAACAATAATAATTAATTATGTACTTAATAAGTGAATTTCCTAAACTTTTGAATCTGGAATCATTCAAAAATTGAATATAATATTTGAAAATGAAAAGTTTTGAAATTGATAAAATTAAACCGAGTTTCGAGCGCTAACGCTTAAAATATGATAGTTTTTATGTAATTGGTGATTCCTAAATTTAGGATTATTATGAAGAAGAAAAATATTAATTGCAACTATTAGCGAGTTTAAAGTATTGCAAAATCTAGACTTCGCACTCGTCTACTAAAACCTATTATTCACTACTCTTTTTACGATTTGCTACTATTTGGATACTTTTATTAGAATTGTGTAAGCAAAAACTACTTTTTTCCATTTTTTTGAAAGTCACACTATTATCAATCTGCTAATATTTTTAAAAAAATTATTCTCAAAAATTTTAATAAATTCTTTAAAACCATTCAATTAATTTAAAATATTTTAAGAAAAGGTTCCACAAAATTCAATCATTTTCATAAAGAATAAAATATTTCTTTGAAATTCAATTATTATTAAAAATATTAATAAAAATTGTTATGAGAATTTAATCATTTTTAAAAATATTAATAAAATTCTTTGATGGATTTCAATTATTTTATAATACAATTTCCAACAAACTCCTCCAAAAATGCAATTATTCTTAAAAAATTGATCAAAACTTCTTCAAAGAATTCAAATATTTATAAAGATTACGATTAAATATTTTATAAGAATTCAATTTTAAGAATTGATAAATTGTTCAAAAAAAATTTTTTTTTTGTAATTAAAGAAAAAAATTTTGAAAGGATTTTTAAATTAAAGTTTACATAATAAATATTATAAACGTAATAGTATAAACTTTTATAAAGAATTAATTCGAAAAGATTTATAATTATCCGCCTTTGCAAATTGTAATTGTTGTATAAGCAATTTAAATATTTATTATAAATAATAAATTATTATTTATTATTTTCCAAAAAAATTAATAAAGTTTTTCATAATTTTATTTAAAAATTCAAAAGAAAGAAATGAATTTTGAAAGAATAACAAAGTTGTCCTTCTTAAAAATAGTTAAATTTTAAAAAAGTTATATAAATTTATTAAATAAAAATTATTCAAGTTTTGAATAATTTAATTTAAAAATAAAGAGAAAAATTAATACTTCCAATACTTGTTTCTAATTTCTTTTGAATAAGTAGTAAGTAAATGACTGAGGAACCAAATATTTAACTAATTAATTAAATAAGTAACTCATAAACTTCAAAAAATTGTACATTTAATTAAAGAAAGTATAGAGAGAATTTTCTTTAAAAAAGTAGGTTGCTTTGGAAATTGAAAGCGATTCTTTAGGGGTGAGTTTTCGAATTAATTTTATCAGGATAAAGGGTAAAAACTATAATTTAACAAGTCAAGGAGACATATCATTATGACATTAAACATCTATAAAAGAAATTTTACTTTAGGAATTGACATTTCGAATAACGAAGTGTGTAAATTTCAGAAACTAAAAGTTTTACTATTTAAAACTAGGTCGTGTAAGCAGTATTCAGCTAATAAGAAGGTGATAAAAATTATAAATACAGCAATATTTACCCAACGATTGTCTCCTTTGCAAGGGTGTTTGACCAAGTTGTGCAGGTGTGGGCCCTAGCATAAAAGTTCCTTTTTTCACAGCAACATCATTAGTAGAACCTATTGCTTCCTCTACAATGTAGGATGTATTAGACGAAAGGTAACCACTTTCGGAATTGCTGTAAGGTGTATTGGGTGTATGAGGTGTCGACGGGGGTTGTTGATCGTCGATAATCATCAAATTATTCACATAATCTTTCCTCTCTTGTCCTTTAATATTATTTACTGAAATAAAAAGTTGTGTTAGGGTCAGTCGGGGTAAATCCGAACGGGGGGTAAATCCGAACGCTAATTATTTCAGCTTAATTAAAATTTTTAAAAATAAGTTCGATATGAGAATTTTTACCTCAGATCCTCTTGAAGAGATTCTAAGTATTATCCCATTTTTTGTTTGTTAATTAGCAACAGCATAAACAAAGATAACAAGTATTGCAAAAAAGATTGAAAATCAAAGATGACACTCTTTCAGTATTTTGTCTCGTATTTGAAGAAAAAGAAGCTAAAAATTCATTTTATTATTTATAATTGTTTGTTATGAATACTAGAACAGAAACTATATTTGATTTTTGCCTTCTGTAAAATTTTATTAATAATATCAGACCGTTCGTATTTACCCAAGAAAATTGGAAAACTGGGGTAAATCCGAACGGTATTTTTAATAATTTTTTTTTACATCAAAGCCACACAAAATTGTTTTTATTTGATTACACTATTATTTTAACACTATAAAAGTACATAGAAAAAAGTTTTTCTTTCTATACGTATCCTCGTTAGTAATTAATAAGCAGAAACTTAATCTCTGTTCTCTCGAATGAGTGTTTCAATTTTTTTGCCAAATGGTTTGTTGAAAAAAGTTTTTCAGGATCTTAATAAAATTTGGTATTCTACGGTTTTTGGGGTCGCTAATTACCAATTTGAAGTCAGTTTTTCAAAATTCAAAATGGCGGACGAGAATTAAAAAATTCATTGGATTCGCTCGAAAATTGTTACTCGGGGGGTTTCAGGGTTAGCAAATTTGATCATTTTTAAAAATAAGTTTTAGGAAAGTACGCCATTTTGAATTTAAAAAATTTGACTTTTATTTTTGTGTTTACATTCAATCACTCCAAAATACTTTCTGTACCAAGTTTTGCAAAAATCCGTTGATTTGATAAAGTTATTGAAGGTTTTAATTGTGTAATGCATTTTAATTTTTAACCTGTTTGATTTTTGTATTTATATATGATGCATTATTACATAATAGGTTTATTATCGTATTTTTTTTGAGTTTTTATATAAGTTTAACAATTGCAATACTTTAAATTTATTTTCCCTAAGATTTTTCTGAAATACAGTGGCGTTCGTATTTACCCCCATATTTTAGGAAAGTTGCAAAGTATCGAGGTAAATACGAACGCTAAGTTTCCTGCGATTGTAATTTATCAAAAATTTTTTCTA